ATGGCTCTGCCCGTGCGGAGATGCAGACAGGACTGCAGTGGGCTCTTGGGAACCTCAGTCCTGCGGCGGGGCGGGGAGGATCTCGGCCTCCACCCTGCCGCTGCGGGGAGCTCTCTCATGGAGACCCACCCTGGAGTACTTCCCAGTGGGGGACCCTGGACCGCACTGGGTCAGGGGTTCACAGTCCTCAGAGCCCTGTCCCTAACATCGTGGTTCATTCGGTGCCTCACAGACGCAGCGGGACCTGACACCCCACAAGGCTGGGATCAACTCCTCCTCCATGCACCGACCCTCCCAGCCTGTGTGCTGCTGGGCTCGGCCCCGCCCCCGCCCCCACGCAGACCTGCTCAAGGGCAGCAGCAACAGGCATCTGGGGGGATCCCAATCCTCGGGGCCAGTGCGAGCTTAACCTGCAGACAGGGCTGCCGGACTCAGAGCTGACTACAGCGGTGCCTCCTGTCGTCCCTCACTCGAGCCCTGGGGCCGTAAGCACAAGGGGACAGGGCGAGGCACAAGCTTGAGGAAGGCAGGGGCAGAGAGTGGGTGACATCTGTCAGCAGCACTGCGGGTCAGTTCTCATAAACGTCACCCACCATCGCTGTTCCACACTGCCGTTACCAGCCAGAGCTCGGAGTCCACCCGGAGTCCTAACTCACACTGGAGCTGTAATGGCTATCGCTCGGTCTCCCCGCAGGAATCCCCGTATGTTATGATGAAGAAGAACCACGAAATGCTCGAGGGCAATGAGCGCTATGAGGGCTACTGTGTCGACCTCGCTGCAGAAATCGCCAAACACTGTGGGTTCAAGTACAAGCTGACGATTGTCGGGGATGGCAAGTATGGGGCCAGGGACGCAGACACCAAAATTTGGAATGGGATGGTTGGCGAGCTCGTGTATGGGGTAAGTATGTGCTTGGCATAGGTAACCCATTTCACTGGCGCGGTGTGGACGGTGTCCTCCCTCCCCCCGGCATCTCTGTCTGTGGGCGCTGGGCTCTGCCGTTCCTTTGGGGCTGTCTTAGTTCCCTGTGGACATGTGAAACATGACATTAAAACCAAACACGCAGATGAACCGGGACAGGCACGCCCTGTACCTCGAAGTGTGTGGGCTGCCTGTGTTGTCCGAGGCCATAAGACAGAGATGCAGTGTGAGTGTGGACGGTGATTTTCATGGTCACGCGGTTGGGTGCACTGGCGTTTGTAGAGGAGGGGTGTTTGGGAACAGGCGGATCCCAGCTCATCCACCGCTGGGGCCCTGCCAGGGTGAATACGGCCATGCCTCTGCCTTCCTGTCCACCCCCCGACCCCGTGACGTCGACGTGACCTCTGCGGACCGCTCCGGGGCCCCTGACCTCCCTCTGCCTCCCTTGCAGAAGGCGGACATTGCAATCGCCCCGCTGACGATCACCCTCGTGAGGGAGGAGGTGATCGACTTCTCCAAGCCCTTCATGAGCCTCGGGATCTCGATCATGATCAAGAAGCCGCAGAAGTCCAAGCCGGGCGTGTTCTCCTTCCTCGACCCCCTGGCCTATGAGATCTGGATGTGCATAGTGTTCGCCTACATCGGGGTCAGTGTGGTCTTATTCCTGGTCAGCCGCTTCAGCCCCTACGAGTGGCACACTGAGGAGTTCGAAGACGGCCGAGAAACACAAACTAGTGAATCGACTAACGAATTTGGCATTTTTAATAGTCTCTGGTTTTCCTTGGGTGCCTTTATGCAGCAAGGATGCGATATTTCGCCAAGGTTGGTTCCTCGCCCGCGCCGACTTTGTGCATTTTAGGTCTCAAGCGGAAGTTCGTGGTGTCTATGAATTCACCCTAGAGAGTGCCAGCCGCCGCCTGTCCGAGGGCTCCGGCTCCCGAGGACGCTTCCTGTCGGCGTAAGCCTGCGGGATGCTTGGGCGGCGCTCCAGGAGTTGGCCTCCATTTCCCGGTGAAGTCGTACACACCACGAAGAGGCTGTAAAATGCATAAGGTCCCCCATTCCATGCCTTCTTGGAGGGGTACCGTGTTTTTGCTGCATATTCTCGCCGTACGGCGTCTGTGTGTCCACCCACAGACCTGTATGAGGGAAGATGGGCAACGTCCCTATGAGCCGCGGAAGCCAGACAAACGTCACCAGCACACGCCCGCCTCCTTTGTTTTCCCACCACCGACGCATGAAATGGCACGGGAGGGATATTGTCAAAGTTGTTTTTCTCAAGGGTAGGCTGCTGGGTTAAAAGGGATTATGAAAGCATATCCCCCAAGTACCGTGGAGCACAGGGAGGGGACTGCGTCGTGACAGAAGCCTCCGCCACTGGGAATGGTGAGCTCCCAGTGAGCTCACGACCTCTGTCGCATCACGACCTGCAAATTCTCTAGCTGCAAATTCTCTAGCTGAGGTGCGTAATCGCGACTCGCCTGCAACAAGGCGCCCGCGCCATGTTCTTCCGCATGTGGGTGAGGACCCCGGCCCCGGCCCCGGCCACACTCGGCTTTCCTGGGGACGGGCCGTCGTGCCTAGCACTCGCGTCACCCTCCAACGCCCAGCTCTTTCCTGTGCTCCTCCTGTGCGTCCTCATTTGGGCTGGACGGCCCTCCTTTGAGTCCGTTGCTGCTCGATGTGGATGAAGAGGTGCTTTTGTGATGGGATTGCATTATCGCGTTGGTTCTTTTTAGCATTCTGGGGATGAAGTGGGTGTCTGCCAACAGCACTGGAGGGAAAGATGTCTGTCTATTGCGATCTGAGCCGCCCCGGGGACATGAAGGTGCTGACAGGTGATAGTCCCGCCGGCCTGCTCCGCACATGGCGGTTGGTTTCCATGGCGGTGGCCACATGACGGACTGGATGGACCTGAGGTGCTCAGCCTCGCGGGCCCCCGGGACTGCTCTGCGGAAGCGCCCAGTTAGAAACAAGCCGGCAGGTGCTGGCATGGCCGCTTTTCCAGTGAGAGTCAAGTTCACTCGGTCTCTGTGTTTGAGCCATTGACGTAAGTTAAGGCATGAAGAGAAGGAAAGGCTAGCCACACTGGGTCTGGGAGAGCACGCGGCCGGTGGGCGCCTAGCACCGTGGGCCGCTGGGAAGAGGCCCCCAGGGCTGAGCTGTGAGGCGAGACCCGGACGGTGGACTGCTGCGTGGGGAGGGGTGGGCATCGGTGCCTCTCTGCACAGCCCTTGGCCGCTGCAGCCCACCCGGGTCTGTGTCTCTGTGCCAGACACCACGCTGGCTGCTCTGGGGTTCCAGGGCTGGCCGCCTTGGGCTGTCTGTCGCCCCAGATGCTCTGTGTCTTCATCAAGCCTCCTCTTCCAAGACGAGCCCTCGCTCCTGTGCTGTCAGTTACATCCACGAGCCACGGCTCACCCACACGCAGTGACGCTCGCCCCCCAGTAAGAGGGAGCCTCTGAGGTGGCAGTCCTTCCTCATCATGGTGGCTATGTGGCTATGTCCACGGCTCACCCACATGCGGTGATGCTCGCCCCCCAGTAAGAGGGAGCCTCTGAGGTGGCAGTCCTTCCCCATTTGTATGGCTATCTCTGTCTCAGAATAGAAAAGAACAGAAGTCACTACTTAAACAGTTTAAGAAGTAAATACCTTTCACTTTATATGTGCTTTTATACATTGAACACAACACCAAGGATTGGCCAATTGAACGATTTTTAAAAATAAATCAAGCTATAGTTTTAAAGTGAGATGACGCTTACTGTAGGGAAGAGGAAGAAAGGAACAGCTTAAAATCTAAGGAAGATGAAAGGGACAGCTCTCTTCAGAAATGCTCTTTATTTATTTATATTTTTCTCTACAGGGCATGTGGACTCACTGGAGAGAGAGAGAGAGTGGGGGGACATGAGAGCACCCCGGGGCCAGCCAGGCGCAGTCCCTTCTCCACTCTCCTCCCAAGATTCCAGGCATGCACACACACGTGCCGCTGGGTCTGGGACTTGAACCACTTGAACCCGCATGGGATCCAGCTGCCTTAGCCTACAGGCCATCTGCTGGCTCCTACTTTAAATATTGTAAAAAATTATTTGCCATCCCTTTTCAAGGAAAATATTACATGGAACAAACTGTCTCATCGAAGTCAGAACACATTTCAAATGTAATCTGGAGTGATTCATGCACTAAGCGGTTTGGTCATTTGCCTGAAATTAGGTTTAAACTACTTAACCGTAAGATGCAGTTTTCTGAAGACTAGAACGGCAGAAGTCCTGAGAGCGAGGTGTCATAGCGGCCTCTCCCCTCCTGCCTGCTCCCCACCCCCGTATCACTAAGGGATTCGAGCTCATAAAAAGTGCACGACTGAAAATAGCCAACAGCCATGGAAACACGAGGGCGTGCACATTGGTGTCCTTCAGGACAGGCGTGGGGAGGCGGAAGTCTGTTTTCAGGGTGGAGGCGTTTCTGCCACCGTGATCTAGCACTGAAACTGCCCGTGGCCTAGAGCTTCTCGGAGCTCTTCCAGGAGCCTGAGGCGGTGCTCCCAACCGTTCGCGGTAGATAACAGCGCTTGGGGCTTTCCACTTCCGAACCGTCAGTAAGTCCACACTTTATTTATTTATTTATTTATTTATTTATTTATTTATTTATTTTTGAGAAATCATGTACATTTTAAATCAACTGAGATATTTAACCTCAGTAAAGTGGTGTGAGCCCCAGAGGGTGGACTGTGTCCTGGCTTGCCTCTGTGTGCCTGCACCCAGTGCCTAATGGTGGCAGACGCCAGTGAGCAGCTGGTGCTGGGAGCAGGCGGGGCGTTTCCACGGGACCAGCATGTCTATCCGTTTACTTGAGGGATGTGAGCAATCGGTAGCAAATCTGCCTCTCAGACACAGGACGTGTGTCGTTACGGGCAAATGCGAACGCGTTCCGAGGGGCTGTGTCTACCTACGGGTGGCCCAGGTGTAGGACGAGGGTGATGTCATTGCCAGACCTCGTCGCACCGTCCTTATCCGGACACTTTGGACGGAGGTCCTTCACGTGGCGTTGGTCTTCATCGCTCATTTTCTCTCTTCTATCTTAGCGACAGATGTTGCGGCCGACGTTTTTATTTCTGAAAATTCTAAAGTAGCTTTTAGCTCCCCTTTTTGACTGTGGGGGTAGTTTAGTCTACAGATATTACCCAAGAATTTAACCTATTCTTTTCTATCAAAAGGTATGATTTTTACTGTTCATTGTCAGGAACTTTATTTTAGGCCATAAACTGTCAAAATTTTAAGGTTTAGTTTTTTTAAAAATGTTACCGCTTTACCTTCATAAGTCTAATAGCAAGACATCACAAAATTATTGACGACAAAGAAATAGTTATTTGGAAATCTTTATATACATCCCATCAAGTTTTTACTCTTTTCTGTATCTATATACCTATATTTATCTATTCCAAATAAATTTGGAGGGATTTATTCATATTTCGCAAAGTATTTTATATAAAATTTATAGCCACAGAAATATTGTTATTTTATTATTTTCAACCTAGGAATTTATATCTTGGCCAATTTTTAATGTCTAATTTTTTTCTTTGAACTTTCTCTTTTCTTAGAAGACAGTCGTAGCAGTCTATGCCCTAACGGCAGCCAATTTCCATTTAATAAGAATGATATCTGTGCCATGTCTTGCTTTGTAGTAACATTCCCCCCACTTTCTCTCCTGCACTGTATGTAACATCTGTTTTTTTACTCTCAAAAACCTGATGAGATTCGGGACCTTTTTTGGGAGTTTGGAGCTTCACTGGCTCAATTAAAGGGCATGCTTTTGGAGTCTACGGCCGCATCGGTGCTGCCTCTTCTCCGTTACGTCCTGTCTGTGGGCATTGCAGCGTGTTTTGCAGGAGCTCTCCATTCCCTTGTCTGTGTCTACTTACGTCACGCGGGGCTAAAGTCTGAGTGTCAGATGGACGATTTATGCATTTCTTCTGATTGCTCCACTCTGAGATTCCTCCCCAGGAGCTGGGCATTGTGACTTCGAGGGAATCCCAGCAACCTGACACGTGGGGCTCTGGGTCTAGCTAGTCCGTACCCCACGTCCAAGATGCTCAGCGCATCCAGGCCTCGTTAACAAGCAGGCATACTGCGAGGGGCACAGCGAGCGCCCGTCGGCTGGCGCTGCGGGCTCGGCCAGCTGGTTTGTTATCAGGCCGCCGCTTCCCAGCACAAACCATGCCCTGCCGTTGCCAGGTCCCTGTCCGGGCGCATCGTCGGAGGCGTGTGGTGGTTCTTCACCCTGATCATCATCTCCTCCTACACGGCTAACCTGGCCGCCTTCCTGACTGTCGAGAGGATGGTGTCGCCCATCGAGAGCGCTGAGGACCTTTCTAAGCAGACGGAAATTGCCTATGGCACATTAGACTCTGGCTCCACCAAAGAATTTTTCAGGGTAAGTGAATCTGCGTGTAGCTTCTGAGTGTGTTTCTAAATGTGACCATTCCGGCTGCCCAGCCCCAGAACCGCGTGAGGCTGCTGCGTGGGTTGACCCTCCTCGGTCTCTGGCTCCGTTTCACCCTTGACCTCCCCTCCCACTCCCTGGCCACAGGGACAGCTCACCCCTGTTTTCTGATTTCTAACTCCTTAGGAGGAAAGGGCCATGATGTGTAGGGGGATCCCAGTTTTAGAAAGACTGACTGCCTCTCTGGAGCAAAACTGAAGTAAAATGCTGATACATTTAAGTTCAGACTATCATTATGCTTTGATACTGAAATGAAGTATATTTAAGAATAGACTAGGATTGTAGATTATTATCAGATTATTTTATTCTCATCTTAATTATGATCTGAAGGAAGGAAACTTTATCATACACAGATTACTTTTATCATTTATCTCAAATACATATGATTACAGCTATGTTATGCAGTGACCATTGAACACCCACATTCAAACCAAGTATGTTCATTTTGTCAGGAACATACTCATATGTGAGGGTTCTGGTACTTCTGTGCGAGTCTTCCAAGGAGGGGGTAACAGGCACGCTCAACTTTCTAACGTTCAAAATCGCGTAATTTTCATTGTCATGCACCTAGCACGTGCAGGTCGGTTTGTCTGTACGTCTGTGGCTTTACGCCCTGTTTATAGGATGGAGCCTAGGGTCTGACGTCGGCATGATTTTTCCATTTTACCATCTCTGGAACTCGTCATCTTAAACATGTTTAAATATAGCTGAGTAACTGAGATCTGAGGCTGACAGAAATGACGTGGTGTTCTGTGAAATCCACACGTATGTTTGTGTCCGAGGTTGCGTGGGGTAGGATGGGACCTCCGGGCTGAGGTTGAACCAGAAGGGGGCCGTCTAAAGGCCTCTGGACGCCTTTCCAATGAACTTCCTTGGGCTGAACACACAACGGGAAGACAGGTGCAGGGCAGGACCACAGATAAGGACAGGCAGCCTGGGCACGGGCGCGGGACCTGGACGGCTCCCAGCCTCGGTGTGGGTGCGGAGGTGTGGCTGGTCTCTGGCCTCGTGGGGCTCTCAGTGTGAGTGTTGCACTGCAGATTGTACTGGTGACAGTGCATGAGCAGATAGGCCTCGGTGTGCCCTCGTGAGCACTCCCACCCACTCCGCTCTGAGTCCGCTCTGGCATCACCCCACGGATTTGCTAAGTGGAGCGGGTGCGGCACTCTTCTGCCTTAGAAAGTATTTTGAGCATGTGTATTGCTTGTGACCAGCATGGCTCGCTTTGATCTTCCTTGGATAAAGAAGATACGGTCTGGAGGTTAATAAGGTGGACTGCACGGGTCCTGTTATAACAGGGCTTACTGGCGGGCCTCTCGGGGATCAGTGATCTTAGCTGTGGGCAGATGCTCTCTTCCAGCTGAGTGTGCATCTGTGAGAGCTGGAGGTGCTGCCTGCGCACACAGTGCCGACTGCCATCCACCACCGCCCACGCGCACTCGCGGCTCTCAGGGTCCCAGCTCAGCCACAGTCACGTGTCCTAATCACCAAAGAGCAGGGACTCCTAGTTTGGCAGCTCAACTGCCCGGGTAGCCCAGCGGGGGCACCACCCCCCCCCAATGCAGCTGCTCCTTCCTTTCTGTGCATTGATCTGGTGGAGATCCCCGCCCGCGCTGTAGGAGACCCCTGCAAGCCCTATGGAGGTTCAGTGAGGTCGTAGGGTGTAGGGGCGGCAGTCCTCGGGCAGCTTGGCTCTCCCAGTGCTGCAACCTGCGGCGGTTCTCAGTCCTGTCCCCATGCAGCTCACGAGGGCGCTATCTGACCGGCAGTGTGGCCACGAGTGCACATCCCATCTTCTGAGCTGCACCTCACAGAGCTGTGCACAACCTTGCCAAGTTCGGGCAGCTGGCGAGTGCGCCGAGGTCTGGTCCCCAACCAGCACTCTCCATGCACGAGGTCTCTCCAAGCCAGGTCTCTGCACATGCTGTCAGGTCTCTGCACACGCTGCCAGGTCTCTGCACACGCCAGGTCTCTCCATGCCTGGTATCTGCACACGCCACCAGGTCTCTGCACATGCCATGTCTCTGCACACGCCAGATCTCTCCATGCCAGATCTCTCCACACCAGGTCTCTGCACGTGCCAGGTCTCTCCACACCAGGTCTCTGCACATGCTGCCAGGTCTCTGCACACGCCAGATCTCTCCATGCCAGGTCTCTGCATGTGTGCCGCCCCTCTTGTCACTCTGGTCCCTTCTGTGTTGCCGACACCATGGGGACTGCAGCAGAAGCTCGGGCTGATGTCATGGGGGCTGCAACAGAAGCTCGGGCAGTACTGGCAGACCCGCTCAGTGCAGCTCCAAGAGGGACTGTGGATGAAATGACCTGGACCGGGTCGTAGTGAGCGCTGCGAGGCTCTCAGCTTCTCTTTCTTCGCCTCACCTGGGGAGGGGAGTGGGCATAGCGGGTCTGTCAGTCTGGGGGCTCTTGGCGCAGACACCCCTAGGTGAGCGGGAGCTCGGCCTCTGCACCCTTTCCGTGAAATGAACTGCGTGGCTGCCTGGGAACTATTTGAACAGCAGGTTTGTCCCCTGGAGCTGGACTAAAGTATAGGGTTGGCTGTCCTGAGGAATTGGGAGGTGTGATTGGGCACTCGGGCGCCATGGTAACGGTGAGGACATCCCCAGGATGTGTGCCAGGGTATCCCGGGCGGCCAGTAGCATCTCCCCCTGCTCAGAGAGCACATCGCCTGGGCGTAGGGACATCCAGATTTAGCATAGTTAATGTGTATAATGGACAATTTGATTAAATAATAGCACAATTTCATTTTGAACTCTTCTTTATCAGCCTATGATTTTGTTGCAAAACATTTTGACATCTTGATTTGTGTAAATTCACATTACAAAAGGGCTTCAAAGTTCAACAAGATCACAAGCTATTTAATCAAACGATACATAGAATCTCTCCATTCAGGGGGAAGTGGTAAGGCTAAGGAAGGAAAAGCAATATACAGTTTCAACATCAGGCAAAGATGCATACAAAGCAGAAGTGGTCATTTTTCATGACCAAATTCCAGACTGTTCTTTGGTGCACATGTACTAAGATCCCCTATGTACAAGCTGTGGGGCCAGACACCGAGGGCCGCAGACGGCGCTGTCCTGGCCGGTCCAGGTGGAGCTTACCCTGTTGCAAACGTGCGTCCACTGCCGAGAGGATGCTGGCTTCTCTAAGCACTCAGTTCTAAAATCTGTTACATCAAGAAGTGTCATCCAGTAATAGAAATATGTTTGAGTGGGTTTTCTTTCTTTCTTTTTTTTTTTTTTTTTTTTGTAAGCTTGTTTATTTCTTCCATGAGCCAGAGAGAGAAAAACAGAGAGAGAGAGAGAGGGACTTGAACTGATGCCCTTCCTATGCCCAGGGTACTCAATGAGGTCTCTGGGCTTGAACTGGGGCCCTTCCCATGTGGGACTGCCCCACAGGGCTTCATGCTTCACTGTGCACTGTGACAGGTCCCTGGAAGTGTGCTGGCTAAGTGGTGACTGGTGTGGTGTCAGCAAATATCTCAGGTGAAAACACCATTGAGAAGTCACCGGGTCCTCTCCCTGTGCAGATCTGAGAGATGAGCTGGCCAGCCCCAGCCCGGTCTCAGCGCTGTCACTGCTCAGAGGTGACGATGGGGGAAGGAGACTGTGGGGGAGCACCGCCCTCTGCGTGTGTGTCGGGGATCCTGGCTGTGCGTCTGTGCTGACCCCAGGGCGTCACCGCTAGCCCTCTGTGTGTGTGTCGGGGATCCTGGTTGTGTGTCTGTGCTAATCCCAGGGCGTCACCGCTAGCCCTCTGCGTGTGCGTGTCAGGGATCCTGGCTGTGCATCTGCGCTGACCCCAGGGCGTCATCGCTAGCCCTCTGCCCTGTGAAGTTGCTCTGAGTCCCAGGGCAGCGTCCTGGTTGGCCTGGAATAGAGTCCCATGTCTTCTTGTAATGAATGGATTCTGCCCTTTCTTTGAGATAAAAGTTACACGTTTTAAATATGTTAGAATAGAATGTAAACACCCCACCCCAAACCTCAGGAGTTATAAAAGTAAGTTTTCTGTTTAGATTTTCCATTTCAAAGCTCCTGTGTTAGAATCACGAAGGGGTTATTCCAAGTGGAATGAAAGTCATTTGAGAAAACTGTGTAGGAAAATCAGCCATGTCCATGCCGCGGGCCAGCTGCAGTTCGACTTCCTTCAGCTCAGAGTAGGAAGGCTTTATTAAAGGGCTGTTTGATGTCAACCTCTGGCTTTGGAATCCTGCCATTTTTAAGATAAATGCTGCTTCAGTAAATTATACCTTCTCTCTTTCATATCTGTCTCTGATAAGAATGTTGTATTTTTTTCCTCCAGAAATCTAGAAATAAATGGTATTTTGGTAGTTAAGTATTCAAAGAGAAAAATGCTATTTAATTAAAAGAGCATTTAGATGGCCAAAGAATGTTTTCTTTACAGTTCACTGTTACTCTAGAAACATTTGAATCCATGTCTAATAAGAGTATTCTGTTTCCAGCTCCGCTCTTGGGCACTAGGCCCTCAGCCCAGGGCTCAGCGCCCGGCCGGGGAGCCCGACAGCCACGGGTGCCCCAGGTGGGCGATCACTTGGGACGTGGGTGCACAGAGAGCCTTGAGGTGGTCCCCCAGCTCGATTCATCTCAGGCGTGTACGGTACTTCTGGCCACACCCGCGCCC